AACGAGGCGCTGGCGTGGAAGAGAGAGAGAGAGAGAGAGAGAGAGAGAGAGAGAGAGAGAGAGAGAGAGAAAGAAAGAGAGAGAGAGAGAGAGAGAGAGAGAGAGAGAGAGAGAGAGAAAAGAGAGAGAGAGAGAGAGAGAGAGAGAGAGAGAGAGAGAGAGAGAGAGAGAGAGAGAGAGAGAGAGAGAGAGAGAGAGAGAGAGAGAGAGAGAGAGAGAAAGAGAGAGAGAGAAGAGAGAGAGAGAGAGAGAGAGAGAGAGAGAGAGAGAGAGAGAGAGAGAGAGAGAGAGAGAGAGAGAGAGAGAGAGAGAGAGAGAGAACAAAAGAAAGAGAAAGAGAGAGAGAGAGAGAAAACAGGAGAGAGAGAGAGAGAGAGAGAGAGAGAGATAGAGAGAGAGAGAGAGAGAAAGAAAAAAAAAGAGAAAGAGAAAGAGAAAGAGACAGAGAAAGAGAAAGAAAGAGAGAGAGAGAGAGAGAGAGAGAGAGAGAGAGAGAGAGAGAGAGAGAGAGAGAGAGCGAGAGAGCCCGGCGATGCGCAACGGCGCGGCAGGCCAGGGAGAGAAGGGGCAGAGCCGCGCCAAATGGGGGAGCGGCGGGCCCAGGGCGCCGGCGGGGTGATGGCCGACGCCGCGGCGTGCCTGGCCAGCGGTGAGGCGAGGAGGCGCGAAGTCAGCACCCAGCCACAGCGGGCGCCGAGGCCGAAAAGGGCGAGCCCAACGCCAGCCGGAGGCGGGCAGCGCGAAGGGGCCGCGCCCAATGGTGGGGCGGCGGGCCCGGCGGGGCGAACAAGGCCGGCCCCGAGACAACAGGCCAACTGGGTAATGGCCGACGGCGGCGAGGTGCCGCGGGGGCAACGGCGGCCAGACACCAATAGTTAGCTAGTGCTGGGGGGGGCGGCCAGAAAACCAAGCAGATGGGGGGGGGCGCAGGCGAAGTGGCGAGCGTCGCCCAGCAGGCGAAGCACCGCAAGGGTCCGCGGGGTGCCGCAGGCAATTCTTGGACAAAACCTGCAGAAGGCTGGCGCCCCCAGAGGCGGGGGGCGGCGGCGGGGCAGGGCGCTCCAAAGCAGGCAGAGGGGCGGCGCAGACGCCGCGAGCAGGCGGCGGCGGGCACCGGCCAAGCGCCGGCAGCCAGCGGGACCACGCCCGTGGGCGTGAGAGCGCCACCCGGCGCCGTGGCGAAGCCGGCGGCTGCGAGAGGAGGCAGGCCCCCGAGCGAGAGCTTGATGCCCGCGGGGGGGCGCCGAACAGGTTCGCGATGAAAAACGGCCGCAAAGGCGGGGGAAGAAGGGCGGCGAGGCAGGCCCCGAGCGAGGACTGGAAGCCCGCGGGATGGCACATAATAGGCGCGCGATGTAGGACGGCCACGAGGGCAAAGACGGGCGGGCATCCAAGGTGGCCGCTGCCAGGGCGGGGTCGTCAAGCTCCGTGCAGGGCGAGGTGATAAGGCACCTGTGCGAAAACTACCTGCGGTGGCTACTGAAAGTTGACCCACGCTGGCGGGAATGGTCATTGCTGGGTCAAGAGGAGTCCGCCGGCCGCTCCCCTTTCCCATGCGGCGGGGTCCCTTCCCTTTGCCTTTCGCGAGCCCAGCGGTTCGCCTCCGCTTGTCAAATTCGCGATGCCAATCAAAATGCCAATCGACTCGTACGCCTTTTCTCCGGCAAGGCCTGCGAGCGTCGTAAGTGGCCTCGCTGAGGTCATGCACGAAACCCTGGTATAATTCAGAATGTTGACGCTGGTGGTCGTTGGCGGAGTGGGGTCCGCACTCCTGGTCGCAGACATTCCACCCGATGGCCAACGTGAGGCCGCTTTCTTGCTTGACCACCGCCGGCTCGGTGGTTCGGTGGTTCCAGGCCGGGCACCAGGTCACCTGCGTGCCCGACCTTGTTGTCGAGCCCGTCAGTGTTGTCCGACTGAGGCGGGGGCAGCGCGAAGGGGGGCAAATGGCGAGGTGGGTGCGGTTCCTGTCTCCAGGGCGGGGCGCTTTCCGCTGAGCCTTGTCCGCGCCACTTTTGGGTGGCGCCTGGGCTGCGCGGTTCGCTGGTCCTGGGGGTTGTGTGCGCTTGTTCTTCTTCTGCGGCCTGCATGCGCGGCGTCGGCGTTTGGCTGATCGGCCAGTGGGGCCTCCGCGCGAGTGGGGCTGGTGGAATAGGTCGCGCTGACCGCTGGCTGAGAGGAGATGCTGGGGCCGCGCCGTCTCCCAGAACGTCCGCTGGCAGCGCTGGCTGGGGGGGCCGCCCCTTCGCTCAAGTCGCAGGAGTCTTTGCAGGAGGGCTCGCTGGCTTCGCGCCTCGAACTGCTCCTCCCTGCCGGGCCCGCCGCGCCTCAGGGGAGGCTTCAGACGACTCCGCGCGCGCCCCTGGCTCCAGCGCGGACTGGCGCCGGCCCGCGCCCCGATGAGGTGGGGGATTGGCTGGCAGCGCGGTGCTCCGGGTCTGGCCTCGGAGGCGCTGGGGGGGGGGGCGGCAGTCTGGATTGATCCGCGCGCGGGGTGCTGTCGCTGGGGCGCTGGGCTGTCAACTCTGCCTCGGGCGCGGATCCTGGAGGGCAGCCAGCTGCCGCCCGCGAGGGGGCGCCGGGGGGGTCCACTGTGAGGGCGAGCCTCTTCTTTGCCGTGTATGTACAGAAATCCCGCACGCGTGGGTGCTGGAGCGACGTCGCCCCTTTTGGACCCAAGCAGCCGAGCAAAAATTCCGGGCCATGCCGCGCCGGGTCGCGTTTCTTCCCGGACGCTTGGGGGTCGCGCTTGCTGCGGTGCGCGCCCCATTCGTTGAGGACCCTGTGCGAGCTGGCAGGGGCATGGGAGTTCTGGCGATCCAGGTGGTCGACCAGGAAGGCCAAGGTGGCGCGCTTGCCGTCCAGCTGGACTCCTGGGGGGATCCCAGACGGCGGGGTGGAGTCGCCGTGCGCGGGGGCCAGCAACTCCTGGCAGCACGCGAGGGCCAAGCTCTGGGGTCAGAGAAGGGTCCCATGCCTCCCTTGGGCCGGCGTAGCGAGGAGTCGGCGTTTCTTGCTGTCCATGTTCTGCAGCGCTCGTCCACCTCTGGAGAAACTGCCTGGGCAACCGCCACCATGGCGCGCGCGATTGTGTTGTCAGCACTCCCGGGCGCCTTGTCAGGATGGACGTGCCCGGGCCTATGCAGGGCGGCAGCGGCCCTCGCACTCAGGCGGGGGAGTGCCGGGGGACTGACGCTGGAGAAGCGATCCAAGAGGCTATGGGGGTGCGTCGCGGGGTCGGCTGTCCGTTCCGCCCGTGCGCCGCCACTTGTAATTGGCGCCGAGGCAGACCTGCTCTGTTGGCGACGCGCCCTGGAGAGGGGCCCGCGGGGGCCCGCGGTGCTGTCGCCAGATGACGCCCTGCCCCGCCACGCTTCAAAACGTGGCTAAGGGCGGCCACGATGGCCCTACCCAGGACCCATAATGGCAGGCCCCCCGAAAAAAAAAGTCTTATTCCGTGGGGATAACAAAAATTACCTTTGGGGGGGGCAGCGGGGTGTGTAACAGTGACGGGGGCCACGGCACGCACCCCGCGTCGCGCGCCGCTTACGTCGTCGTCGTCGTCGTCGTCGTCGTCATCGACATCGTCGTCTAAACCCAGCGCCTGTGCACTCAACACGGGCTCTGTGTACCACAATGCCTCTCTGAAACAAAACTGCTGCCGAAATGGCATGTGTGTGCACCACGCCGACTGGATACACCATAACAACTGTGCAAACCACGGCGTCTGTGTGCACACCACTGTGTCTGTGTGCACACCACGGCGTCTGTGTACATCACGCTGTTTGCGCACACCACGGCGCCCGTGTGCACCACAGCTGCTGTTTCAGAACCCTGTGTACCACAGTGCCTGCGTAAAATACAAAGCTTCTGTGCACCCGACGGTACCAACAGAACCAAACTCAGGAAAATCGTTGGGGGGCCCGACGTATGAAGTCAACATGTGGGCTGATTGTGATTACTTGTTTTTCTGGCCCACAGGACGCTCGGACATTTTGGGCCCACAACGCCTGTGTGCGCCATAGCGAATGTGCACATCATGGCAACTGCGCGCACCACGGCGCCTGTGAACACCACGCGGTTGAGGGCGCGCGGAGCGGCGTCAGCCGAGGGAGTGCACGCAGGAGAAGCAGGAGGAATAGCAGCTCCAGCAGGAGGAGCAGGAGGAGTAAAACAAAAACCCGCGATGGTGTCGACAGCTCGGGGTCCGCGCTCTTTTTCCAAGAGCACTGCCAGGATGCACGCACTCGTCTAACATCATCTACACCTCCACGTCCCCGACGGAGCCCAAGTCCTGGAAATCGCTGGGGGCCCGAATGTATGATAATCAATATGTGATCTGATTGTGTTTATTGATTTTTCTGGCCCGAGGAACCCTCGGACATTTTGGGCCCACAGCGACTGTGAAACACAACGCCCGTTTCCACCACAAGGCCTGTTTGCACCACAGTGCTTTTGCACACAATAGTGCCCGCGTCCTGTATGCGCACGGAGGATGACGACGAGGATGACAACAATGAGAAGGGAGGAGGAGGAAGAAGTAGGAAGATTTGCGTGGGTACATCATAGCCCACAGTGTGCACTTACATCATAGAGATTTTGCGCACTACAGCGGTTTTGTACATCACGGCGCCTATGTACACCACAGGGTTTGTGAGGCGTACGCCGCAATGCTTGCGTAGATCCACTATGCCTGCGTACACCTCAACTGTGTGCGCCACAACGCCGGTGTACACGCCCGCGTGCACCGCGGCACCAGTAGAACCCGCGTGCACGTGCACCGCGGCACCAGTAGAACCCGCGTGCACCACAAGCCCTAGGCCGCCCGGGATCGCGCACTGGACCCGGCCGAGGCGTTACCGTTACGGGGGGGGGCAGGGGGGGGGGGTAACATGTGCTATCCCTTGGGTGGGTAAAAAATTGTCTCGAACGTGGGAGAGGACCTCCCCAAGCCCCGTCCCAGCATGGCCAGCGGCAGGAGGCGCAGCCCGTCAGATAGCCCCGCGAACCCCTCGTGGTCCAGAATCTCAAGCAAGTCGTTGCGTGTGAAGCCGCACGGGAGGTTGCGCAGCATCGCCGTGGTTGCGGCGGGGGGGCGGGCGAGTGCCTGGCTCGGGGTGGCGAGCACCCGCCCACCCCAGTATTCCACGGCCTTGGCGGGCGTGCGCGTCACCTGCGAGGAGCGCGGCAGAAACGCCGAAGCCCTGCTGCTGATAGAGGAACGGAAACATAGCACGAGCATGACTTCTCGGAGGGGCACCGCGGATCTCTTGGCTCGGCGCGGGACCCCGCCCTCCCTGGCGCGAGCAGCGCGCCAGGGGGCGGCGCCGGAGGCGGCGCCAGGGGGCTCCAGGCGCCGACATCCGAGAGCTCCGCGGGAGCTCCGATGGATCATGTGCCGCTGCCATGTTCTGCTCCTCGAGCTGAGCGGGCAGGCCGGGAGGGCCGGGCTGTGCCGGGCAGGGCCGTCGGCGGTGGGGCTGAACGCCGAGGCCTTGCTGCTCAGGGGCGTTCGCGCACTCTTCGTGGGCAGCGGGGCCGGCGGGGCCTCCCGCGCTGCCACAAACAGCATCTCGTCCACCTGGAAGCGCTCGCAGGCCCCGCTGGGGAAGCGGAGGCCGCCGACCTCCACCAGGGCCGGGCCGGGCGCGGGCTCTCCCTCGTCGGGGTCCGAGTCGACGTCGGCCCACGAGCCCAGCTTGCTCAAGGTCTGATGGGAGCCGGGGCTCGAGAGCGGCAGGCCAGCGTCCGTGCCGCCCGCGTGCTCTCGGGGGCTCGCACCGGCGGCGGCGAGGGAAGGGCACGAGCTGGACCGGCGCAGGCCTGCCGAGCCTGCCTCGTCGAAGCTGGCGTATACGAAGGTGTTTTTGACGCTGAGGCTCACGTCCATCTCGAGGCAGAGAGGCCGAAGCTCAGAGTCCGAAAGTATGGAAGACGTGTTTGGGTGGAACCCTGCCGATCCAGAATTGCTACAAGCATGGAGGGGGGGCTTCCGAAGACTCCCAGGGAATCTGGCGCCCATGTCACCCAAGGCCACCTATAAGGCTCCCGAGGATGCCTCTGGACACTCTTTCGGGGATTTGCATTTGAGAATCTGGCGCCGAACATCGCATCGGCGTTGTCACGTGGACGGTCTTTGCCAAATCGGCCAGGAGGAGGGGGGTAGAGGGAAGAGTGAGGGAAACAAAAGGTACCGATACCGCTGCTCCCCGAACCTCTCCCATGGTGCGTTCTGACTCGACTTTCGGGCCGAATCCAGCGGCGGCGGCGACGAGGGCCTCCCAGGAGGGCGAAACAGGGGGAAAACGGGCGAAGGGTATTGGTATGGGTACCTTTTCCTCTTCCGAGCGAGGGGGGGGGGGAGGGACGGGGGGGACAAGCTAGGTGCGCTCGCGTCATATCTGACATCCTACCCCTCCCTCCCATCCCTTACCATGGCGTAGATCCCCTCTCTACTCGCACAGTCGGATGTCGAGCACGGCAAGGATCCCGAAAGGGTACGCGATGCATTGTAGAGCACGGCATGGCATGGCGCAGAAGAGCACCGCAGAGCGTAGTATGTCACAGCATGGCGTGGCGGGGGGGAGGCAACAGAGAGGGGGAAGGCAAGCTAGGTGCGCCCGCGCCATGCCGGACATCCTGCCCAGCTAACCCGTCACTGCCCATGGCGCTGGAGGTTTCTCTACCCGCGGGCGCGTGTCATGGCAGACCTGGAATTCCAAAGAGGACCCAAACTTGTCATGCGCCAGCGAAGACGGGTAGCTGCGTACACTGGAGGAGGAGGCGGCGGATGAGCAGGAAGATCAGCAGGAGGAGAGGAAGGAGGACGAGGAAGGAGGCGGAGGAGGACGAACCGCAGCAGCAGGAGCTGGAGCCCACGGAGCGCGGGAGGAGCAAAAGGACCAGGGACAGGCGGAGGAGGGGAAAGGAGGGGGGCGACAACGATGGGGAAAGACTCGGACCATGGAAAGATGCCGCACTGTGGCTAGAGTGACATCCTGAACGATGGTGAAGCGCCGATCCTGAAATCAGGTCGGCGATGCAGCGGGGGCACCATAACTTGAAGGACCGAAACGGACAGGGGTGTTAAAAGTCGTAAGGGCCAAATCACGCTTTGCAGTCATGTGTACAGCGCGGGACACCTAGGTCGATCATGTCTTCCTTCCAAAGATTGTGTGTCCCATTTCTTCCGGTGGCGATCGTTACCTGGGGGGTGGGGGAGGGGGGGCCCGGGTGACGGGAACCCTGGGGTGGGGTGGGATTCGTCGGGGCAGGGGTGCGCTGCGACCGCCAGAGGTATGCGCTCGAGCACCAGCGTGCAAAAGGGGAGGGTCCAGATCGGCTCCGTTACCAGGGGGCGGGGAGGGGACGGGTCTGGCCGCCCGGGTAATGACCGCTACGCGCCAGAGCATAAACCAATCTCGGGCCCCGAGGACTCCTGGGGACTTCGGGGGTCAGGGGCCGAAGCTCAAGCGGGCGGTCTGGCACGGGAGGCCCTCGCCAGAGATCGTCGGCCCTGGAGGGGAAACACCACGTGCTGCCTCCGGGTACGGCCGCCTCCTACGTGGAGCACATGCCTGGGAATCCGTCTGAGATCCACGCGTCCCAGGAACACCAGCGCCCCAGAGGCGGGACTCATTCGACCCGTATCATTTGAGCTCTCGTCCTTCTCCCTTTCCCCGTCCTCATCCTCCCTCTTCCCCTCTCCATGCCTGAATCCGGGCAGAAATGCGCCTGCGCGAACCCCGATGACCGATGAAGCAGCCGCCACGGCCGCAGCAAGAGATCAGAAGGCCCGCAACCTGCAAGCCAACCACCTGGAGGCTGGGGTGGACAACATCAGCCGCCTTGAGGAAACACCAGAGCCAGGCCCCTCGATCGTCTGGTCGGGAATGCCCTCCTACACGACACATACAAAATATGCGAAAGATGCTTCCAAATAGTCAAACATGAAAATCGTCCCCAATTTTTTGTCCCAACCATCCTGTGGTGTTGGGTCCTCGTTTTGAAGAGACGGCCCCGCGTTCCCGCCTCCTTCTTCCCTCCCTCCTCCCCCCTCCTCCCCCTCCCACACCCATTCTGGCACACCCCTCACACGTTTCGTGGCCCCATAAGGAGCTCCACCGAAGGCCCCAGTGGCTGCGTCCGCATGCGGTTCCACCCACCATTCTGGCACACCCCTCACACGTTTCGTGGCCTCATAAGGAGCTCCACCGAAGGCCCCAGTGGCTGCGTCCGCATGCGGTTCCACCCACCATTCTGGCACACCCCTCGCACGTTTCGTGGCCCCATAAGGAGCTCCACCGAAGGCCCCAGTGGCTGCGTCAGCATGCGGTTCCACCCCCCATTCTGGCACACCCCTCACACGTTTCGTGGCCCCATAAGGAGCTCCACCGAAAGCCCCAGTGGCGTCCGCGTGCGGTTCCACCCCCCATTCTGGCACACCCCTCACACGTTTCGTGGCCCCATAAGGAGCTCCACCGAAGGCCCCAGTGGCTGCGTCCGCATGCGGTTCCACCCCCCATTCTGGCACACCCCTCACACGTTGCGTGGCCCCATAAGGAGCTCCACCGAAGGCCCCAGTGGCTGCGTCCGCATGCGGTTCCAACCCTCATTCTGGCACACCCCTCACACGTTTCGTGGCCCCATAAGGAGCTCCACCGAAAGCCCCAGTGGTTGCGTCCGCATGCGGTTCCACCCACCATTCTGGCACCCAGTTTCGTGGCTGCGCCACGTGCGGTTCCACCCCCCATTCTGGCACACCCCTCACACGTTTCGTGGCCCCATAGGGAAGCTGGCTGCGCCCGCATGCGGTTCCACCATTCTGGCACACCCCTCACACGTTTCGTGGCCCCATAGGGAGCTCCACCGAAGGCCCCAGTGGCTGCGCCCGCATGCGGTTCCACCCCCCATTCTGGCACACCCCTCACACGTTTCGTGGCCCCATAGGGAGCTCCACCGAAGGCCCCAGTGGCTGCGCCCGCATGCGGTTCCACCCCCCATTCTGGCACACCCCTCACACGTTTCGTGGCCCCATAGGGAGCTCCACCGAAGGCCCCAGTGGCTGCGCCCGCATGCGGTTCCACCCCCATTCTGGCACACCCCTCACACGTTTCGTGGCCCCATAGGGAGCTCCACCGAAGGCCCCAGTGGCTGCGCCCGCATGCGGTTCCACCCCCCATTCTGGCACACCCCTCACACGTTTCGTGGCCCCATAGGGAGCTCCACCGAAGGCCCCAGTGGCTGCGCCCGCATGCGGTTCCACACCCATTTCTGGCACACCCCTCACACGTTTCGTGGCCCCATAGGGAGCTCCACCGAAGGCCCCATGGCTGCGCCGCATGCGGTTCCACCCCCATTCTGGCACACCCCTCACACGTTTCGTGGCCCCATAGGGAGCTCCACCGAAGGCCCCACATTCTGGCACACCCCTCACACGTTTCGTGGCCCCATAGGGAGCTCCACCGAAGGCCCCATGCGTGATGCCCCTCCGCAGTGCTGCGTCCATCACCCCCCTGCATTCGGGTTCCACCCCCCAGTTCGTGCACGTCACACGTTCGTGGCCCCATAGGGAGCTCCACCGAAGGCCCCAGTGGCTGCGCCCGCATGCGGTTCCACCCCCCATTCTGGCACACCCCTCACACGTTTCGTGGCCCCATAGGGAGCTCCACCGAAGGCCCCAGTGGCTGCGCCCGCATGCGGTTCCACCCCCCATTCTGGCACACCCCTCACACGTTTCGTGGCCCCATAGGGAGCTCCACCGAAGGCCCCAGTGGCTGCGCCCGCATGCGGTTCCCCCCCCCATTCTGGCACACCCCTCACACGTTTCGTGGCCCCATAGGGAGCTCCACCGAAGGCCCCAGTGGCTGCGCCCGCATGCGGTTCCACCCCCCATTCTGGCACACCCCTCACACGCTTTCGTGGCCCCATAGGGAGCTCCACCGAAGGCCCCAGTGGCTGCGCCCGCATGCGGTTCCCCCCCCATTCTGGCACACCCCTCACACGCTTCGTGGCCCCATAGGGAGCTCCACCGAAGGCCCCAGTGGCTGCGCCCGCATGCGGTTCCACCCCCAT